ATGACAATGAGAGAGACATCCGTTGTGGAATCTATCCAAGTGTTAATCTACAACTAGTTAGCCAACTGCAAAAGTTGCTGCATGAACACAAGTATACTCTGGAACTTAAGGCTGCTGTTGATTCTGTTCCTAAGGGCCACAAGATCTTGCAGAGGGTGATTAACACCGATAGGAAGCCTTCCGGAGAGCACCAAGGTTGTTTCAATGCCCCCAGGACTACAGAAGTGGCTGTTCTCATTGTCGGCCAGGATTTTGAGAAGAGAGATATCGTTCTTCACAGCAAAGACAACAGGCTGTTACAAATCAATGAGACGCACCATGCCTATGATGCTCTCCAGTACCCTCTGATGTTCTGCTGTGGAGAAATCAATATACCTTAGCGTGAACCAAACACCACAGTTCCTCTCAAGAAGACTGTGTCTGCTGTTGCCTTTTACAGCTATAGGATAATGGAGCGTAATGGCGAAGATGCTACCTACTGCTGTTCCAGTTCCATAGTGAAGCACGGGTATCCAACCAACCAGTGTTATATATATCCAAGGTTAATTTTATGGCCTGGCAAGCAATGTCAATCCAAACCTGATAGAGGGTAGCTGTGATCATTATTTGTGACCATCCCTTCCAGCTTCACAAATTGAAAATCAACAGCGAAGCGTTGTTCTAGTAAGTCTCCCACTTGCCTTCTTACACACCAAGCAAGGGCCCCCTTCATAGGTCTCCCTACCATGCTCAAACATATATATCCCATACTCTCCCACATATTCATACCTATGCCCCAGTCTATGCATGACCCTTCCCCAACTCCCTCTCCCTCAACTTGCCTGAGCTAGATGTTCGAGGGGCTCCCCCACACCAATAGTACCAGTGTGGTCCTTATCTGGGACTCCCATTGCTTTTCACTTAATGACCTATGCATCTTGTGGTTACAATAGTAATGATGACCATCTGGATTGCTCTTGCAATACTGCTTTATGTGATGTGAGATTTTACAACTATCACTTAGCAATAGCAATCCCAGTCCCAATTGCCATTGTAACTCAGGGTCTAATCAGTGGTGGGATTCACTTTTTTACTACCGTTTCTGTAGGCATGGCCAGGTTGTCATGTGATTGGGTGGGCTTGGCCAATTTAGCAGTCCATTAAACAATACATAGCAGCCCATTTTCTATTCTTTTTAATACTGCAAGTTTTTGCTCTAGGGTTTTTTTTTACTAGTGGGGAGTGGTTGGCAATACCTGGGGATTTCTGGAAATATTTCCTGTGGGTTAGAGTAACCAAAATAACCAATGATATAAAGTCTCCTGCTGGATCAGGGGGTTGGACTAGATGAAACAGGAGGCTGTTTCAAAGTATCCTGTGAAGCTGCGTCTAGTGCCAGGGTTTGTGGTCCTTCCTTCCTCTCCTTTTTCTTTCCCTCTCACCCTCCCTTTCTCCCTCTCTCTATATCTCATTCACTTTCCCTTACTTTTCTTCTTTCTTTTTTTCTTTTCTTTCCTCTTCCCTCCCTTTTTCTTTCTCCCTTCCCTCTCTTTATTTCTTTCTCCCTTCCCCCCTTTCTTTCTCTTCTCTTCTCTCCCTCCCTCTTTCTTTCTTTCTCTTTCTTTCTTTCTCTTTCTCCCCTTCCTTCCTTGAAGGCTTACTTTCTTCCTTGAAGGCCCCCCTACAGCCTCCTAAAAGCCAAAATGGGGTGCGGGGGACCTCATTCTTGGCCTAACAAGCCTTCCTAAAGCCTCCTGGGAGACAAAACGGGGCACGGGGATGGCGGCGCCCCCCCCCCCCATCCCCATTTTGGGCCTAGCAAGCATCCCTGCACTTACCTGGGAGCCAAAACGGGGGGTGTGGGGACTCCTGGAAGGGATTAGGAGGGGAGAAGCAGGGCCAATCAGAAATGGCATTGGCGGTTCTTTGCTAATTTCTGCTACCGGTTGTTCTGAACCAGTCAGAACCAGCTGAATACCACCTCTAGTCTACCTGTATATCCATAGCCTTCTAGCATATATGGCATGCATGATCCACTTATAACTCAACTTTTTTTGGCTCTTTCTACTGAGCATTCTAACAATGTACAGAACTATTCTGTTCTATATGTTTTGTTGAATATAGTACTTATCTTATATTCTGCCACTAAATAAAGGCTTTCATCATATTCTGTAGCCTCTCAAACCTAAAATGTAAGATTGCACCAAAATAAACAATAAACCTTAATTGCTAATAATCCCCAGAGGCATAGACGTTTTAATTGAATGGAAATCAGATATTTTCTGTCAGCCTCTACTTTTGGCTGCCATAGAAACAGGGAGGGGAGTCGACAGGAAGTGCTTCAGTTAGACAGACGTGGGGTGTGTGTGCTCTCAAGAGCCTCACATGAACCCTGTCTGACAAACTAACATCGAGGTCCGTTTGGACCGGAACCCCTCCTGGAGGGGGGGACGAAGAGGACAGCATCTCATTAAACCCAGGGGAGGCAACTCAGCCCTAGCAGGTTGGAGATTTGTCTTTTGAATTGGAGTCGGGGCAACAGTCTATAAATATGGCTGACAAGAGCTGAACTTCTTGTCAAAGCAAAAGGAACAACAGGAGAGTTCGGAAGGGATGAACAGCCGGTTCACCTAACCCACAGCCATAAATTAAACCTGGAAAAGGCAAAGAAATCTGGAGAACATAAATAATATTGATGGTCACATCGGGACTTTTCCAAAAAGAAAGGGAAAATAGAGGGTTGAAACACCAGCCCTCCCCCAAAAAAAGCTATTTACTTGAATCAATTTTTGGACAGAAAGGAGGAAGCAGAGAAATGACAAACCCACTCAAATATCATATAAATTTTAAATTTGGTTTTGGATTCGAAAAAAAAAGAAACCAAATACTTTGAAAGATTTATTTTGTTTGAACTTTTTCCAATTGATAAATCTTAACTCCAAAAAAAAGCACTTCTTCTTACTTAACTTTGGCCTAACTTTGTGCAGGAGGTTTTAATTAGCTAACTACCATAAATCAGAACTTTGGAAAGTACAATTGTCGATCACAAGCCTGTCTTCAAGTGATATATTGCGAGCAACTACAAGAGACTGGACCTGGTAAGGGAAAGAATAATAATAGAATAATAACAGAATCCAAACCGGGAAATACGAAGGTTTTTTAATTTTGTTTTGCTTTCTTCTTCTCCTTCCTTTTCTTTGCTTGGCAAAAGAGTAAGATGGCCCTAGCTTCTCTTCTTGTTTGAATTTAAGGTGGTCCAGAGTCTTGAAGTGGGATTTGTATAACTAACTGCAATTTTGGATCTGGACATTAAAGTAAAACAATAGACTAAGATGGCCACCATTGTTTTTCTCCATAGCAATTGAAGAAGACAAATGTAAGGTGAACAGAACTCTGAAATAAGAACTGCATAACCATATAATTAACTGTAACTTTGGAACTGGACATCATGGAAAACTGGGAATTTGAAGAACTATGTNATATGCCCTTGCAAAGCTTGTCGTGACACTTCTTTTTTTACAACCAGTGGAAAACTGCAGAACTCCTTTTCTCCTTATTTCCACTTAGTTCTTTGTTGTTTACATTCTAAATAATTTTAAGACTGAAATGTGTTTGAAAATTAGGCTGTTGGTTTGAACTTCAAACTTGGCAATTTGGTTGCAAAAAATTTGCCACCATTCAAGGAGGCATCGTAGGTGAGTTTTGAATTCAAACCACACTGACAATTCAAAACACATTAACAATGTCTCCTTAAATGGTGACGAAATGTTTGCAAATTGCCAAGCTCAGAGCTCAAACCAACAGCCTAACTACAAACCCAAGCTACTAATTTTCAAACACATTTCAGTCTTAAAATTATTTAGAATGTAAACAACAAAGAACTAAGTGGAAATAAGGAGAAAAGGAGTTCTGCAGTTTTCCACTGGTTGTAAAAAAAGAAGTGTCACGACAAGCTTTGCAAGGGCATATATACATCATGATCTCCAGCTGACTGTGGCCTCCAACAGCTTTAGCAATATGATCCAAGATGAGGTATAATTTGAAACATCTGGATGGCCATAATACCCCGTGCTGTGAAGAACAATTAGCCAAATCTTGGCACAGGCAGGTTTTAGATGGGACAGTAATATAAAATCAGAAGCAATGTCATCCCTCATATAAGTAAAGCCAGAATGTTTTATTTCTTATTGTGTTTGGAGAAAAATTAGATATAAAATAAATATGAAGAAAGAAAACCCTATGTTAAGTCTACTTTAGGGTAGACCACTAAGGATTTCTACTATATCTCCCCTGGTTCCTATGCTATTTGTGTTTTAATTGGTGGGGCTCTAAAGGGATTAGGAAATGACTTGACTCTGGCTTCTTCAAATAGCCATTCCTGCACTGGCAATTACACCAAATTGGGTGAACATATCTGGACTCAAGGTTCTCTGGTAAGTTTCTCTTAGATTGTAGTTGCTGTCTGATGCTGTGAAAAGATAGTTGCTTTAAAAAGGTGCAAACATGGACTTTATTCCAGCAGCCCAAAGCACCAAACATAAGTGCTTGTAGCTTACTCTGATGCTTCCGTTACCTGTACAATGAACAGCAAATTTCCACTCTAATTGATTTTTTAAATTTCATACAACAGCCAGGGGTTTGACAGTATCACTGACTAAGGAGACATGAAAAACCCCCAATTGCATTCCAAAATCATTTGGGCCCATCTGGCACAGACCATTTAACTGATGCAATTTGCCTACAGATAATTACACAATTGATCCATTTAAGATTAAGTATGGCAAGTGCATAAAACAAAAGGTCTATAGTATTTATTAGTGCATGTCTACAGCCAGATATTAATTAGGATAAAGCTATGTGATTTGAGCAGAGGTCATAACCACACTCTGAGGAAGATGGGTGACTTAGAAATATGAAATAAGTAAAATCTAAGCATTCAATTCAATAAGCATGTCCTGGTAATATTTGTTTTCAATTGTGTCCCCAACCTAGGATTTAATAGAAACCTTATGCAGAACAAATTTTGGAATTTTTTACTTTTATTAAACAAATAGCGAGTTTGAAAACATGATTCACAACCAAATACATCATTCCATTCTTCCCTTTTTCTGTTGGCTATTTTGAATTAAGAGAAGCTGCTTGACATTTTAAACTGCAGAGCAATATGTAACTGGATATACACCCCCCCCCCAATAATGTTGCTTGATTGGTGTGCGTATGGGGGAGGAAGGTACCTCTGTTGTATTTCTCTACTCTTTACCTATTTGCTAAAGTTAAGGAAGGATTCTGTCAATAGTGACTGATAACTCTGTGAGCAGGCTGGCAGTTGCAGTTTCTTAGGTTGGTAAAACTGCTGATCATAATTTTGACACTTACTATGGCCATATGCAATGGGGTAGGCAATTATATATCTACCTCTTTTATTTTGGCACATATCCTGAATCATTTTGTGAACTTCATGCCACTTTCCAACAAGCTTTTTACAACATAACCACTGCCCAAATCCAATTCATACTTGCCAGCTCTTTATTTAAACCATACTACTTCAACATTCAGTCTTGGTCTTAGTTATTAACCTTTTAGTTATTAACCTTTGTTAGATTTATAACCCACATTTTTGTACAACCCAAGGCGCATAGTACACAATACTTTTACGTCCTGTTTTCCTCAAACTTCCATCCTGTGAGATGAGGTAGGCTAAAAGAAAATAACTGTCCCAAAGTCAATCAACTAGTTTCCATGCCTAAGGTAACTCTGGAATTCATTGTCGCCCATCTAACAGTTCATTAAAATGGCTCTGTACTTAGTTTACCTGCATTTTTTCAGCTTTTCCTCCACCCCAATATCTTCAGCCCCTCCTTCTTTCTCCTATGGGAATATGCACTATATGAAGCTAAGCTACACTGTTTCCCAGTGGGAGTATATGTCAGGCCTTCAAGGCACACCAGCTCAAAAAAAAGGCATGGGAGTGATTCTGGAATGCTCTTTGTTAAGAGTTAGAATAATGATTTGTGATGAATGTATCTTTTCTTTTATGTACACTGAAATATGCACCAAAGACAAATTCCTTGTGGGTCCAACCACACTTGGCCAATAAAGAATTCTATTCCATTCCATTCTATAATACAACCTTGGACGCTTGTTTCAGATTCTCTCTGTCCCATCTTATACTACCATAAACAAAATCATGTTGAGTTTCCTTCTATCTTAGGCCTGGTTTATTTTTTTCTATCACTCTCCCAATAGTTTCTTACTCCTGCCAACACCCCCCTTCCAATATTTCTTTCATACCTTCCCCAAGGTCAGTCCTAAATTCCTTATGTCAAGTTAACAATCCACAGGAGACCACAACTGAATATAGGCTGTTACAGATATACATGTTGGTTGTGTAGTCAAGTGGCAACAGGGAATGTGATCAGATCGGTAATTATTGATCAGTTGAGCCTGGTGAAATAATGACCCTTCTCTTATCATCCCAGAGCACTCTCTTGCAGGTCCATTCTCTTTGTGTCCTGCAGATCAGCTCTGGGAAACGGTGAATAAAAGCATGAGAATTCAGTTATTTCAAAAGAAGTACTTTTTCAAGAATGAAACTCTATTTTATGATCGCATCTGTTGAGACACTTGATTTTGACAGATGGCTTAACCAGCATGGATTCAAAACTCTGCATGTCTGTAAAGCCATCGATCAACAGGCTACTATAGATGGCGAGTTTTGCCAGATGGCTAAACCAATGAGTCAAAAACATTTATCAATCATTCACAAATCTGTCAGCACTGCTTTACAACTGTGTAGTTAGCTGCAGATTTGGGAACTGACATGCAAATCAGATTAGCAATGTAAATGGAGAACATAATTAATGACAATAACAGCAAAGCTAGTTCTTTTTGAAAGGACAGCATACTTAAGCCTATGTACATAGCAATAGTGGATAAGAAAAGTACAATGACACAAATCCAGTTCTTTAAATCTTAGTTTGTGTGACTAAAATGTGAAATAATATTTTATTACAAAAAAGGGAAAGAAATATCAGACAACTCCAGGTGCTTCACAAACCTGCAGTATTCCATAACATCAGGATATAAGAATATAAATCAGCCTTAGCAGCAGTATAAAATGTCAATTACATGAAATTAAGTATTGTGTTTTTCCAACCTTCTCTTGATCTCCTCTATAAAATGCTCTTGAGGGACATTAACCTAAAAAGCAGATAATAGAGACTTGATTAGTACAACTAATCAAAACAGAATATCTTTACTGAGGAAAATTGAATTGCAAACATGATCTCAGTGTTGTTCGAACAGCTCTAGGGAAGATTATTTTAGAGCAACAGTTCCAAATTGACTCCATTAAATAACACCACCAACCTCTTTCCTAGTCACAACATCCCGAAGTTTCACTACTCCATCATTCAGCTCTTGTTCTCCAATGATGATTGCCAGTGGGATTCCTGTTTCTTCACAATATTGCAGTTGTTCCAGTAGTCTGGGATTTTTTTTATATAACATCTCTGCCTGAAAAATGTTGGTAAGAAATGGAAAGATAAATACTGACATCAGTAAGATATACTACAAAATAATTGGCTCAGATAATTATTTAAGACATTTAGTAAAAAACTAAGATATTTTTCATCAAACTGAAGGCTGCATAGAGCAATAGCAATAGCGCTTATATACTGCTCTATAGTGCTTTATAGCACTCTTGGAGCAGCTTACAATGTAAGCATATTTCTCCCAACAATCTGGATCCTCATTTTACCAATCTTGGAAGGACGGAAGGCTGATTCAATCTCGAGTTGGTCAGGATCAAACTTGTAATGTGTGGGCAGAGTTAGCTTGCAGTACTACATTCTAACCACAGCTTTTATAACCATCTTACAACTCTGTTTAAGTATTTACCCCTTTTGGATCTTACAAATATTTGGAAAACTTTGCCACTATATATTAAAGCTTTGTGTGAATACCATAAAAATAGTATTATGTAATTATAATAATATAAAGTCTAGGTGAACAAATAGCAATATTTCTTTTATTTCATAAATTCAATAGGCGATCTGGCAATGTGAAAAATGTATCATCTCCCTAGTTCAATCAATACAATTAAAGAAATAACTGGTATCACTTTTGTGAGTATTTCATTTGAATTCAGTGCTGCCTTATAAACATCTTATAGATTTAACTCCTCTCAGCACTGTAGGCTTTTCTTCACACAAATGAGACATGCCATGTCCTGCTCTAAAGATATTTCTGAAGACCTTCACAAAAAAAAGTTAATTCATGTTTATCAATGTGGTGAAGGTTATAAAACTAGTTATAAAACACTGCTTTTAAATCAGTGTAAAAAGTTATAAGGGACTTAGATGAGGAATTAAGACTTAGACTGTGAAACTAACTATAGATTACACTCACATAATAATATCTCCATAAATACTCTCTTGTGAGAGAGGGTCCTGTGATGCTCTGATGAAGTTAAGAGCTATGCTGGTGATAGCATAGTCTACCAGAAGAGTCACACATGTCAGGTAGACAGGTCTTAGAAAAAGAACCAGGCTATGTGTATTCATTGACTCACTTAATATTGTGAGAAAACAAAAAAAGAATGCTATACTGGATTGGGTTGCTCTGATGATATGATACATTGCTGGAATTATTTACTGGACACATCATTTTGGACGATAACCGCAGGAAAACTAATGACATCACTGTACATTACATCCCCATAGAGATACTAATAGATTATACCTACCCCGCAGAAATATGGGCAGAGTTTTAAATCAAGCTGTCGAAGAAAGGCTCTAATTTACCTGATTACATAAAAGACAGCCAAGAACAAGTATCGATGCAAGTTAAAAATTGGAACTTACTGAAGCAAAACATAAATATTGAAATAATACAATAAAAACATGAATATTATGCTAGCAAGGAAAAGCATTACATGGTCAATTTCTACAAAGGATAAAGGGAAAAATGGATAAAGATGAAACCTGACAATGGCTTACAACTAGGTCATTAAAAAAAGAAGTGGTTTTGGCTGTTTAAGAGCAAGTTATTAATGCAATCAAAGCCAAATTGAAAAATCATCAAATAATTCGAAGTGTAGATTGTTTAAAGACAAAAGAAACAGTAGATCATATACTCATGCAAAAACATTGTAAAAACTGATTACAAATAATAACATAACACAATTGCCAAAATGATTCAGTGACACATCATATATCAATAATGAAAAATGGATGGAAACACAGCATTAAAAGAGGAAAATAAGCAACTTAAAATATTGTGGGTTTTCCAAATATGAACTGGTAAAATCTTGGCCATAACACAGGGCTTTTAACTGAGGTTGAAAAGAAGAAAGTGTGGGTAATTGATGTAGTAATATCAGGAGATAGTAGAATACAAGACAAAGAATTAACACAAAGCATCAAAATCTGAAAATTGAAAGATTATGGCCATGAGTAGTTATCCTTGCACTGGGTGTCATGTCAAAAAATGTTGGATAGCACTTAGAAAATCTGCACATTGATAAAATTTCTATCAATCAATTACAAAAGGCCACACTGCATCAATTCGCACATGTACTAACAATATACTATGACATCTAGGTGTCAACTCATGAAGTATTCCTGACCTGCTCTCGAGTTGTTGTAGGCAGGGGGATGGGAAAACCGAGCCTCACAGCTGTATCGAGGAATTTGCATTTCAGTTCAAAATAAAGCACATTCCAGCGGCAACATCATGGTCATCTTCAGGGGGAGCCACAGTGGCTGGAGGAAGTGACTTCTACAACCCGCGAAATCGCTTTGTTGGGGAATGTGATTGATCACACACCTTGGGGGAGGGGGAAAGAGGGTCAGAGCCAAGTCGTGAATTAAGTGAGGGAAGAGTTGGCTTCACTTGATGTGTGCTGACATGAAGCTCCTAATAAATAACTGGATTTCTTCTGAAGCTTGGCTTGAGGCTCATGATTTAATTAGGGCATTGGTCGGAACCCTGACACTAGGTTCTTGGGAAGAACTCAATGTGTACAAAGCCCAACGCCAGCTAAAAAACTGCCAGCTGTGATTTCACATTTTTGTGTATATAATCATAGTAATAGGTGCCTTGGATGTAATTCTAAAACATCTGCAACACCACCTGAAAATCATTGGTGTTGATAAAATCACCTTCAGTCAATTTTAACTTACAGCCTATGTCAGTACCCTTAACACCACATAACATCTGCCCATCCTTGGTCCTCAAAAGATTTTGGTAGGTAGACAAAAATGCCAAATCCAGTCTAAACTTCTGGCTGACTCTGTGACCAACTATAATGTATTAAAGTTATATATTAATGGTGGTTAGAATGCAATATTGCAGGTTAACTCTGCTGACTTCAGCAATTCAATCCTAACGGGCTCAATGTTGACTTAGTCTTCCATCCTTCCGAGGTCAGTAAATGAGGACCCAGATTGTTGGGGACAGTATGCTGACTCTAAAACCACGTAGAGAGGGCTGTAAAGCATTAAGAAGCAGTATATAAGTCTAAGTGCTATTGCTATATCTCATGAACTCTCAGTGTTTCTATAATTGTTAGAAACATTTCAGAACAAAAGGCATCAGAAAACCCACGAATAAGAGAACAAGCAATAGTAGAAAAAACAAAACTGATTCCAGCGTCCCAAAAGATGGCATTGTTTAATCAATGGAATCTGAAGCACACCAATTCTGCTAGATTGAAGTAGCTGAGCAGATATTGTGGGGCACAGGAAGTCTCTCAAGAAATGTACATTCATTGGAAAAGATATGCAAACATTCAAAAAATCTGAAAGGGAGTAAATAATTTTTCACAGAAATATATGCTATAAATATATGCTAAATATAAAACTATAGCTTGGGGGGTTTACACTAATGCAGGTGTATATAGCCTGTGATGTGGTTAGATCTGGCCCATGGAGCCATCCTGGAAACAGCGAAGGACCAGCCCATGGTGCCTCGGACCGGCCCAGGCTGATCGGGCGTTGATCTTCAACCTGGTGGCAGCCATCTAGGCCAGAATGTGATCAGCCTTAGATCCATGGGGCTGCCCTGGGGCCAGCAGGGGGCTGCCTCCGCCCTGCCCCCTAGGAATGCACACAGTAGGTGGTGAGCATGCAGAGCATGACAACCCTGGGGACCGTCTTACCCTGTAGGCTGACTTTGTTCTGAGTACTTCCCTTTCACCGAGGACGCCAATGCTTGCTGCCTCCTGTGCACATGCCCAGCGGGAAGGGCTGAGGCAGCGGGGAGGTCTCTTGATGGTTCCAGGGCAGCTACCTGGGTCAGATCTAAGGTTGACCATGTTTAGAATTGGAAAGCTGCCACAAGTTATAGATCAGTGCCTGGTTGGCCTGGGCTGGGCCAAGGTGACACAGGTCAGTCTTTTGCTGTTTCCAGGGGGAGAGTTTGGTAGAGTTGCCGATGAGCTGTGCCTTTCCCATGAGGGGGCTGGAGCAGTCCCAGTGAAAGGGAAGCCTCGTGGGCTACTAGGCCAGGAATGAGGGGAGAGACTAGCAGTGCTTCCCTTTTACTGGAACAGCCCCCGCCCCCAGTTGTAAAGCTCGTTGCCAGCGCCTGCCCCTGGTACCTATGGGCTCCTACATCTTTTGAACGCGCCAGGTAGGAATTCCACCGGCAAAGCTGGTCCAGGTTTCCTGATCTGCAGGCAGAGGAAAGGCGGCCAGAGCCTCGCCCCATGCCCTCCGCTCCATGGCATTGCCCGTGGATGGGGCTTGGCCAGGGTCATCTGCAGGCAAGACTGCAGGCCGTCGCATCTGGAGGGCACCACGGGCCAGAGGTGAATATGAGGTGAGCTGGAAGGGTTGCGCCCCGGCCTGGCACTTGGGTGGGTGGATTGGAACGAGACTGCAGTCTTGGCATCTGGCAAGGGAGCCTCTGGGCACATGCAGTGTCCCTTGCTTTCTTCGCCGGGGTCAGGGTCTGCAGCTGAGAAGCCTGGCTGTGGTTTTCCAATGGGGGATGGTCCCAGTGAAAGGGAAGCCTCGCAGAGTACGAGGCCAGGACAACGATCGGGGCATGGAGGCTTCGTTGCAGATGTGGCACTGATCTACAACCCCGAGTCTGAACACAGTCAGCCTTAGATCTAACTCGAGAGGCTGCTCCGCCACCTCCACCCCACAGGCATGCTCACAGAAGGCGGTGTGTGTGGGGCCTGGCATCTTGCCCCACAGGCTGACTGTGTTCTGAGCACTCTCCTTTCATTCTGGACGCACGCATGCACTGTCCCCTGTGTGCACACCCACGGTGTAGGGCCAAGGCGGCAGGGTGGTCTCTCAGTGTCTTCAGGTTGGATGTAAGGGTTGACCATATTCCAGTCTGAATGGCTGAATCAAGTTGTAGGTCAGCATCACGCCTCCATTCCCTACTCCCTGGCCTAGCCTTGCAGCCCTCTTTTGCTACAGTACTGCATATACTGCAGGACATTGGTGCTTGTGCATGGCTGAGTAGGGTGCCGGGTGGTGGTGGTGGTTGTTGAACAGTACTGCATGGACTGCAATAGAGGGAATGGATAAAAAAGGGAAGTCATCGCAGGCAATGGGCAGGCAACAATGGGCAGGGGCTTCCCATTTTGACCTCTCCCCACTGCCATTGCTTCTGTGCCTAGACTCCAGCCTAAAACTGAACTGGCAGTTTGGCTGTCCCACCCTTGCCCCAACACTGTTCGACCCCTCAGGCACCCTCCCCAGGTGTGCTGAAGCACCGATGCTGGTTCCCCCAGGCTTTGGCGCTCAAACTGGTTCATTATTCCCAGCTTTGTCTGGCCCATCACAGGTGCCCCTTGACGTGAGCAATACTGAGCGGGCCAGGTCGAGTTGGCCATGCCCACCCAATCACGTGACCATTCAGCCACACCCACCTGGCCCTTTCAGGGCAACCATAATGTTGATCCATCACTCAATGAATTGAGTTTGACACCCCTACAGTAGAGTAATAATTTCTCAGTATTACCTTGATGCCAGAATTCCATAATTCAGATATTAACTTCATTCTGATTGTAAGGAAATTTTTCTGGGGAGTTGCCACCAATACTTGTGTCTCTGTTGTGCGAATCTTCTCCTTGGCCATCTCAGAGGAAAGAGAAAAAAAATCAGCATTATAATCAGAACTAATTAAAATTTGCAAACAAGCTCTTCTTGAATTGGACTTAATTATTGTTGGAAATATTCTTCAGACAGTTTCAGTTTTAGAAATTTCCACTTATTTCCAAAATATGCATATTATAAACAGCTTGTTTATAGAGACAGTGCCTTATTTCTCTTATATAAAGCAGTTGATTCTTGTAAGAGCCGAGGTGGCGCAGTGGTTCGGGTGCAGTACTGCAGGCCACTTCAGCTGACTGTTATCTGCAGTTCAGCGGTTCTAATCTCACTGGCTCAAGGTTGACTCAGCCTTCCATCCTTC